CATTTAAATTAAAGCATCAATATTTAGATAGTTATTTACTATTATACAGTCAAAAGTCGTTAATCCGGACTCGTCGGGACTTCGGCGATTCCGGATTATAGATCATCAGTTTAAATCTGGTAAAATGGCATGCAGAAATTATAAAATTAAAAATATAAAACCGTAATTTACGAAATAAAGAACAATTATGATCTAAAGGGTATCAAAATTTACAAAAAAAAAGCTTATTATTTATTTGTTTACTTTATTAAACATTTCTTTCAATGTAAGTTGTTTAAGTTGATTCGTTTTTTATGTGATAATACATTCTCTTTAATTCTATAAACAGACATAATTTCTTGTTCAGTTACAAAGTTCCGCTGTTCACGTCCTATAATTGCTGTGTCAAGAATACCGACTAATTTGTCAATCGAAATTTTTTCGTTTTCAATAACCTCTGTCACTTTCTTCGCTATCGGAAGCGAATTATAATGACGAGGCATTTGATTTAAATCATATCAAAGATGGGAGTACATCGAGATGAAATACTACATTGAGTAAGCAATTATAAGGCAAATAAAATAAAAACATCTGCCCTTAAGATAAGGATAGTGAATTCATTGCACGCCGCCGCCGCGTTAAAGATAAACAAACGTTAAAGTTTAGATAAACAAAATATATGCCTTTATCCATTTTTTTGCAGCAATTCCACTTTTTGTGTAATGGGCTCCGAAAGATACTTTCGCTTTGTATATCCTTTACATATTAGTAAATATATATCGAAAATTCTATTTGACATAATCGAAAGTTCAAGCTTACTTTTATAAAATTGCTCTAACAGTCTGCAAAAAATAATAATCCGGATCCAATTCGAAGATTAAGGAACAACGCAATCTGCAACATTAACTGAAATAGATAATTAGATAATTTTAGCTTAGCTTATCCCGTCCGTTATACATTAAACGCGCATTCATAAACGTATTTTGCGCACGCGCACACGCAAATTTGCAGCGGTAAAGGTCTTACGCGCATGCGCAGAAAGGTTGTAGCTCTGAGGTCCGGATTATAGATCATTCTGGATTATGGGTGTCCGAATTAACGACTTTTGACTGTACTTCCTTTCTTGCGTTAGGGTTGCCGCAATTACTTTTGGCAGCACTGGCATCAACAATAGTTTGGCGATTTTTTACGGCCCTCGAAACCGAATAGTACCGATTAAATTTTTCAAAGAAGTCATCTTCTAGCTAGTGAGAATATGTAAGAGCATGACACAGCAGACCGTAACAAGCATGACACGTTTTTGACCCGAGTATGCAAGTCCTTATTTTTTTACAGATGGACGAAACACTTCATAAGTCCAATCTCTAAAATGGTCACATGTCACCTAAGCCATGTTGTTGGATCTTCATATGACATATAGCCTGCTCTATTGGACTTTATATTTCTTGAAGTCTCATTACAATTAGAAACCTATTGCGACAGATAACCCTCATAATTCACAAGTTTCTTGAATATGCCAGAGTTCTCGCCTGTCTTTTTGGTTGAATTTGTAGCTTTTCCTTGTCTCACGGCAATTTGAATACCAGTTTTTCTCTTTCGAACCATCCAGAGCTTACATTGAATGCTTCTTCTTTGTCCTTTGATGATACTGACGTCTTTTTTATAAGGTCGGTAAAAATTAGTATCTCCTTCTCACAAATTGTCTCCGTTAATAGTGCATTTGCTTAATAATAATTGCTTGTTAATAGCCTTGCATTTGCTTCTCAGTGATCTAAGCAATTCTTCAACATTGTCAAGAATATTTGGCCGTTGCATAGTAAATCTTGTGACACCCTTTGAGGCATCAGTTTCCTTAATCTTATTCTAGTTTTACATGATAAAATAAATCGCTGATATCAGAGAGCCATAGCTAGGGTTTTCAGCGCCCGGAGACAACTGAAGATTTAGCACCTTTTCTGTTTGACAAGAATGGAAAACACTTAATTCTAAAATTTCGTTAACATCAGTTTGGTACCCCTCGATGCTACGACCGGGGACAAAAGTCCTGTCCCACTCTAGCTACACCACTGGTTGATAGAGATGTATCACATGTGCGAGCTAGGTCAGCCACGCTGCCATCTCGTTCTTGCTTTTCAATTGCTTTGGCATTTGGCTCAATAATTTAGGGTTGCAGCATTTTCTTCAGGGACAAATGTGTACACATACCTAAAGCTTTACACAACAAAATGTACAATAATATGTCTGAAGACAACTTTCACAAGCGACAGCGAGATGCTAAATAAGTGCTAAACAAACCGATAGCCGAGATTCAGACATGACGTACACGTGAAATCACGATGTCTCCACGTCACTAATTCTCCGAAACATCACTAGTTAATGAACTCATATTTTTGCTTTTTTGTTTTGCTCATTAAGGTGCTCGTTAAGTGATGTTTGACTATACTTAGCTTGTTTACTTTTTTTTTTTTTTTTTTTTTTCAGCAGCTTTATAAATGTGTCCTTAAAAAAAGAATTATTATTTTTTTCTAATTTCTCCCCTTTCCACTTTTGTTTAGAAGTTTCTTAGAATCTTAACAGAGTATTTAATAAATGAAATTGCAGAGTAAGATAAAGGAATTTAAATATTGTACCATGCAGAGTAATTACACTAACTATAAATAAGCCACATACACGGTTAACCATAAATTATGTAAAATCTATGATAGCCACGTCTAGTTGAGTGATTTTAATTTAAATCTGTACCTACTATACTGGTTAGGATTAATGCATTAGAATGGAAAAACATACATATTTTGGACGGTAATTCAATTTTAATTGGTTGCTTTATGGAATTACTGTAACTGAAAGTTAATAAACTTATAATTCCGATTCAATACAAGGTCTATTAAGATTGTACTAGACTTATTTTAAGCTGGAGAATAGAATTCTTTTATACTTAGAGTTTTATTTTACTATAAAAACTCATAAATTAAAATTTTAATTGAACTTAAGGGAAAAATACCACATATTTAGTCAGTCAGGTAAAATTGACTATATATGTGTTATTTTTTAAAACAACAAAAACAACTTATTTCCAAATTAAGGAAATTTTGAAAAATTCAATTACCAGATTTTTAAATAAAATACATCTAAGTTATATAAAAAAATGAAAAAAAATCTGAAAGGTTTCAGATTTTATATTATACCCAAAGGGCCATTTTTTAACGTTTTGTGTGTTACCTTTATTTATTAAATATCGTGTTCTTTGCACTTAAACTATAAAATTCAATTCAACAGCAATATCATAAAATATTTAAACAAGTATATCTTTGGAATTTCTGATACACAGTCTCGCATGCTTGAGAGAAAATGTTTTTCTTTTCTGTTGAGTGCTGCCATTGCTCACTTTGAAATAGTTGAATTTCTTAATCAAAAACTCATAAATGCTTTACAAAATATGAAATAGATAATAAAACAAATTGAAAATTTGGGCTTCCAAATGCCCATATTTGGGTGTAGACTTAACATTATTCAAAATTTGATGGCTTTAGATATAGGGCTCTAATATTTGGTGGCAACAATTTAAAAGTGATTCGCCATTTACAGTGAATCAACGCAAAATGCCAAAACAAAAATAATAGTCCTTCTGGACTAACACCCCTTAGGCTAAAAAACACTTAGATTACACAATTTAAATGTGTTTTATTTGAAATTATCATGTATAATCATTATACAGTTGTGCCTCACACAACGAACTTAATTCGTTCCAGGAGAAAGTTTGTTATGTGAAACGCGTTTTCCCATAACAATACATGTTAAAAAAAATAATTCGTTCAGTAGCATAAAATATGCTAAGATGACATAAAAAAAAGATAAATTTTTTGTTATTGTTTTTATTTAGATACATCTAAAAACACAATTTTTTTAAAAAAAACACACATTTTTTAAATTTTAAGACAGACTAAGTAGAGTCTACCGAATCTTGCACATCTTCCAGAAAAGACCCGTTTCATTGGCATTGAACACTTGTTATGGGCAGTATCCTTCATCCTTAATACATTTTTGAAAGTTAATAGAGAACTTTTCTGCTTCTTTCTTGTCAGCACTGACAGCCTCACCATGCATAGTAACGCTGTGGATTCCACACCTTTTCTTAAATCTAGAAAAACCACCCCCTGCTGGCTTTGAATTCTTCTTCATTATCTTGATTGCTGCTACTTCCAGGGACGTTTTTCTTTAGATCGTCATAAATTCTCTTGGCTTTGTGACAGATAATATCTTGGGTTGTTACATCACCTTTCACCTGCCTGTCCTTAATCCAAATCGCTGATAGCCTCTCCATTTCCTCGTGGATTGAAGACCTATGTTTTCATGAAATAGTTTTGATACTCCTTCGGCTACTTTGATTGCATCCTTATTTAAGCTCGGGCGAAGCAGTCGTGGAAGCTCGGACGAAGCAGTCGTAAAAACTCGGGCAAAGCGGTCGTGGAAGCTCGGGCGACTTCGTTGAGTGAAACGAAGTTCATGAAATGAAGTTTGTTGTGTGCAGCGTTCGCTGTGCGAGGCGTTCTTTATGCGAGGCACCACTGTAATTTATATAGTACTACTTCTCTAATTAATTCATTGAGACTTTTAAATGATAAATTTAATTCACAGACCACTAAAATAACTATAAGTGATGAAATTCAGTACCGTTTGGCATTTATGTCATGTAGAAAAACAGAAAGCATTCTAAAAGATAAAAAAGCTGCCTGCTTTATTAAACCAATAATTCTGCATAGGTGCTCTCTGTCCAAAGTACTATTATGTGCATGATATTTAAGGTTATAGCAATCCTTTTTAAAAGAAGAGAATTATCTTTTGATATGCATGGAATTTCTCCAAATGTTAAAAGCAATTTTTATCGATGATTATAGACATAATGTTCATGTACAACTATTTACATAAATATGTTATATAACAAATATCAATCCGATATCATATATATTTAAACTATAAAGAGTAAAAACAAATTTAACAACATTCAAATAAATCCATTTCGTAAAAATTCAGCTGCCACATTATGCATTTATTGAAAAGAAATAATCTAAAAGTACAAAAGGCTTCCAAAGTATAAAAAAGAGTATAAATATTATAATATAAAATGCTTTTAAAATGCAGTACTGAAGAAAAGGAGAATTATTCATCATCCTTATCTTTTGCACCATGCTTCAAGATGCGGGTAAATTCTATGTAATCAAACATTCCATTTTTGTCAATTGGTGCTTCTCTGTACATTTCATCAATCTAGATAGAAAAAAAATTAAGAAAAATAATACTGAATTTTAAAATGTAAATAAAATTCATAGGTATTTTGTACTGGAAAATTCATAAATTTTTAAATAAAATACAACATTTTTTCAATTCATTGCACATGAATAATGCTCAAATCATAATTTCTTCATTGAAAGTTCCCACAAAATACAAATTAATGAACTGAGAATATAAAATAACTGATCACTAGAACCATCAAATTATTAACTGAAACATATTTCCACTTTGACTAACAGATAGTTCTAACATTAAATATAAAAAAGAAGAAATTCAGATTAAACATACAAAAATCTTTTGCTAAAACATAATAAACAAAATAATACTGCTGCAAAAGCCTCTTATAAATGGAGGGGGAAGTCATAATATTATAACATTTTATATTAATTAGCCTGGTTACATCCATAATTTGGTTTTACTATTATTTCTACTTTTGTCAGCTACTATTATAATACAAATTAAAGTATAAATAACCACAGAGTTTAGAAGACAGCTACTTGCAATTTTTGTTGAATGTTACTTTATAATGCAACCCTGCTTTTCTGAACCGATTTATCAGTTTTCACTTTAGCACTTTGCAAATACTTAAGGCTGAGCCGAGACTTATTTAGTGGCATTGCTCTCCATGGCAACACAGCTGTTCAGAATTATTTAAACAAGAAAATTAAGACACATTGGCTATTCATGAAATATCTCAGGTACAAGTTTTAATATGAGCACAATACTTTAATATTTGCTCAACTGTTATAAAGCATGCTGAAATATGTCATATTATTGAGTAAAATATATTAGTGTGAATTTTTTATGCCTTCATACATAATATAAATAACTTCTACTATGCAAAATTTTTTCAGAATAAACCAACTGCAATAAACATATTCAAGTCAAATATAGAAATATAAATGAAACATGACATGTCATATGACATTTGTTATTACAATTGTTAAATAACAAATATTTAGAAATATGAAATAGCAAATGACATTTCTTCTAATAATGTTTCATGTTATTTTTAAAAAGTAACTTAAAATTTTGAGATGTAAAATAGTTTAAATGCACATAATGTGAAGATGCACATTAGATACACAAAGTGCAGAGAAAACTTTTCTAAAATAAATTATGACAATATATATTAAACCACTGTTTTAATAAGAAATGGACAAAACATTCTGCATCGCAAAAACAGAACAGAAAGGAAATTTAAAAGTGATGATGATTCAGATTACTAGGGGGAGAATGAGTGGGGTTTGATTTATGTCATTACGGCAAAGTCTCAAGGGCTATTTGCCTAAAGAGAGAGATGCCTTCCTAGACAACTTTCTAAGGGGAACTGGCTTATATACATGTTATGCGTGGAGAAAATCATGAAATGGCCCTTGCAGTCAGCCCATTTGCGGGATCCGAACCTCGAACCAATCTACCAGTGTTCAGCAACTTGACCGCTCAGCCACTGGTGGGCCAGGAAGTGTAGGAGAAAAGAAATTTCAGCAACTATAAACTAACCAGAAGCCTTACGTATGTTTAGTAACCCTACATAAATTATGAGTGAAAAGCATTTAAAACTGCAAATTGCAATTACAAAGAGAATGTTTTTCTAAATATTTTTTTCATCTTTAATTAAGTAAAATATTTTAATTGTAAATCTATCCTTTAAACTGCATTTATTGTCTTTAGAAAAACAACAGAATATACTATAAATGTAAGTTCTAAATTTTTATCAGACATTTTCATTAAGTCTAGTTCCAAAAATAATAGGAAATCATTTCTGAAGACAACCAACAAATGCATACATAAAACCCCAAAATTTATTTTCTCAAAATTAAACTGCATTTCTAATAAGACCAAGCAGTTTATGTTATTGGATAAAGAAAAAGTGTTTTCTATCATCATTTCTTTTTATTCACTGTCAATATGAAATTATTTTGAATAATGAATTCAGAAAAAAGCATGGCTTGGGAAGGGGGCGGGGAAATTTTTTCTTTATGCAAGTAAATATTTTCAAAAGTAAGAGCAACCATCAGTTAGTTATTTTTAATGTACGCTAAAAATCAATATATTTTATGCATAAAAACAAAACACAGTCTACAGCTTTAATCCGGATGTCCATAATCTGGAATCATCTATAATCCGGACCTCAAAGCTACAAACTTTCAGCGCATGCGTTAACGCATGCGCAAAATACCTTTACACATGCGCATATGCATCTACGCATGCACATAATACCTTTACACATGCACATATGCATCTACGCATGCGCATAATATGTTTACGCATGCACGTTTAATGTATAACGGATGGTATACGCTAAGCTAAAATTATCTAATTATCTATTTCAGTTAATGTTGCAGATTGCATTGTCCTTAATCTTCTAATTGGATCCGGCTTATTATTTTTTGCAGACTGTTAGAGCAATTTTATAAAAGTAAGCTTGAACTTTCGATTATGTCAAAAAGAATTTCCGATTCTGGAGCTACCAAAGCATCTACAAAGCAAAAGCATGTTTCGATGTCCATCAAACAAAAAGTGGAATTGCTGCAAAAAAATGGATGAAGGCATATCCTTTGATTCTCTAATCATTCCAAAATGTGTTTATCAATTTCATGCTGCTCTGCGGGGATGGGGGGGGGGCGATGAGGCGCGCAATGAACTGGAAGTTGATCTGACAGCACTATCCTTATCTTCAGGGCGGATGTTTTTATTTATTCGGCTTATAATTCCTTACTAAATGCAGTATTTCATCTCAATGTACTCCGATATGATTTAAATCAAATTCCTCGTCATTAGAAATATCACGAATACACATCAAATAGTTTCCTGGTTGCAATTTTCTAATTTCAACTATGCGCGCATTGAAAGAAATGTTTAATAAAATAAACAAATAAATGTAAAGCTCTTTTTTTTTTTTTTTTTTTTTTTTTTTTTTTGATACCTTTTAGATCATAATTGCTCTTTATTTCATAAATTACGGTTTCATATTTTTAATTTTATAATTTCTGCATGCCATCTTACCAGATTTAAACTGATGATCTATAATCCGGAAAAACCGATAATCCGGAATTGCCGAAGTCCCGACGAGTCCGGATTAAAGAAGACTGTATAAAACTCAGCCTTGGTTTAACACTGATTTCAAGTGAAAAATGCCTTTCCAACTGAAATGAATGCTCAATTATTTTGCTCTTCGCTGCCTTCTAAAATTCAATTTAGCATATCTTTTATTTCCATATTACAGCACTGGATTGGATTATTTATTAGAATAAATCCTGCAACAACTATCAACTTATTACCAAGGAATATTAACTGATATTCACATTACACTTGGGGGAGGAGTAAGAAAACCACATGCAGACAGCTTGCTCATAGAGGATAACATTCAAAGATTAATTGGCTTATATTTACTTAGCATATCAGGAAATCTACTAAAATCTTATTTTACCAGCCCTACTAGATGGGAAAAAAATCTAGGACAGATCAGATATTTGTTGTAAATATCTGGCTGCTGGTAAGCTGCCAGATAATTAAAAAAAGAAGAAGAAAAACAACAACAAAAAATAAGAAGAAAGAAAGGGGGAAAAAAAGAAAAAAAAAAGAGAAATTTATTTGATCCATATAGGGAGCATATACTTACAACATCTTCTGAAAATCTTTCGCCCATAGTAGATAAAAGCTCTCTCAATTTGTCTTCATGTAATACACCACTGTTTTCTTCGTCAAAACATGCAAATGCATTCCTTATGACATCTTCTGGGTCTGTGCCTTGCAGTCTTTCTCCAAAGAGAGTCAAAAACATAGTGAAATTAATAGGTCCTGGAGCTTCATTCATCATTCCTTCCAAAAAGTCATCAGCAGGGTCCTTTCCTAAAAGAGATTAATCCTTATGCGAGTTGTAAAAAAAATACAAGAATTCTAACAATTCACATATACCTACACTTATCAAGGAAGAAAATTCATTATTTTCATAGATCAGAAATTAAAGGACAATAATACATAAAATTAGATACTGATTCAAAACTTGGCACACTTAATAAAAATTACCATGTTTCATATATCTACAATACAAGTTTGAATTTTCACAAAAAAGTTTGAATACCCTAAATATGATGATCAAGCACAAATCTCTGCTTCAATTAGCATGATACTGATTTCAAATATAACAATCTTCAACAAGAACAAAATGAGAGAAATGAATTAACAACTGAAAACAATGATAAAAATGATACCTTGCAATTATTTGCGAGCTATGAAAATTTTAATGAAGGGCTGAACTTTATCTTATAAAGCAAAACACCAAATTTTAATTAAATGTTTTACTTTTTACAAAAACAGAACATACAAGTAATTAAGTATTAACTAGAAAACATTTTAAACCTAAGAAAAAGAAAAAAGTGAAAGAAATTACATAAAATATGGAATCAATTTAATTATATAGCAAATTTTATGCCTGAAGCTGCCAAATATGGTTTCCATCTTTCATATCAGGATCATATCAGGATATCTAGAATGTTCTAAGGAAAAGGATTTTAAAAAAAGTTTCTACATGATGGTTACAATTAGATTCTTCAAGAGATTTCAGGTTGTCATTTAAATATGAAATACATTGTACAATCAAAGAAGACCTTTTTCTTGTTTTAATAGAAATACTCTTAGCTGAATGTTTGTTTAGTTTCAGCACTCTTAATAGCAACAATCTCCACAATGACTTAAATTTTCTTTATAGCATTGAGATTTCATTATGCATTTTTTTGCTAAAGGCATCTCAATGAAATGCATATGCAATAATAAATTACAACAATACCTAACAATATAATTATTGAAAGCAGACAATATTTCTCAGCACCAGTTAAAATTTTATAGTTGTCTACAATATGTTTGACTAAAATAAAAACCAGATAAGATGTTAACTCTCAGAAACAGAGAGACTTAATTTTAAGTCAAAATATGATTATGTCATGCAAAACAATTTTTTTTAAATAAATAAACAAGCTAACAAAAGAATATGGAGCTTGCAAATTGGAGATAAATCTAATAAAGGAACAAGTTCCTTTAAGTTCACCACTGCTTACAATAATCATAATCAAAATATCATTGAAACTTTTAAACATTAAAGAAAAAACTATGTTGCGGCTGCGAATAAATTTTACAATGGTTTATGCAATAAAAATCAATTTAAAGAGAATTTTAGTCTAAAATTTTAACAATTTTATTTGTATGATTTAAAATGATATGTAATAAAAAATGATCAGCTGATTTTAGTATGTCAATAAAAATTTTGGTTACATCATGAATTAAAAAAAATTACTTAAAAATTAAAAATCGCAAAATATAAATTTATTGTTGCTATTATTGTCTTAAATATGTTTCTATAGAAGTTAAAACAAGAGGAGGATTTATTTAAAAGTTTCATTAGTTTTTAAAAAAAAATTTTTTTAGGGGTGCATGTCAGATTAATATAAAAACTATTTTTGAGTGTTTAATATGTGTGAAAATAATTAATATAGAAATATTCCTAGCTGATATATAAAATCTAAAATTAATAAACATAACATCTGTAAACAGCTACCTATACAATTATAATAAAAATTCAGACTTTATAAATAAAACATCTTCCATAAAGCAACACCCTCCTTGGGCAGGTAGCCCTTGTGTTTTTTGGCACAATTTAAATAACTAACCACAAATATAGAAGATTTTAAAAATGATTATTATGTAAAGAGATAGCATACATCTCTCCAAACTATATGAGAAAATTAAAGCTAAATCTAAAATTTAAATAACACAAACATTGTTTAGTATATTTCTTTTTTCTGCAGCAAGCACCTAAGTCTGGTTGTTAATATACATAGCTACTAGCCAGAAGCATTCAGGGCTAATCTTTGGAATATGGCAACAGGTAGTTTGGTGACATTTTGGTAAGGCGATAAACTAGCTAGGACTTTAGCAGTGTACATGGATAAAGTCAAGAGTGTGTGCAATGCCATTTATGTGCAATTCTGGGATTTTTTTTAAGTGAAAATAGGTCGACGTGTACATGGATGATATCGTGTATGTGCAATTCTTAAAAACACGGCAAGCAGTGGGCGATTGTGCACTTTCTCCTAATTTCACACCTAATGTTCATCATAATTAAGCATTTTTATTCCATAAAAGTTCTAGTATAAGCGTAATTCGGCTATCAGATTGTTGGAAAAAATGTTGAGTTAAAAAAAATGCCTTTACTTCGTGAAATCAAAATGGCATTCAAAACAAAACTAGCAGGTTGCTGTAGCAGGGTTAGTGCCACATTTTCGCAAAAAAACGCCAAGTTACCATAATCCGAAGATTAACCGCATTCAGTTTAAATTCAGCAATTGCTTTTAATTTTTTCAATATTTGTTTTTTCAAAAATAAAAAAAAAGCATTCATCAAAAATTTATTTTAAGGAAATGTTAAAAGAAAAAAAAAAAATTGCAAAAATTTGATTTTATACAAAAAACAATTTTTCATTTAATTTGTTTTAACATACTTTTTCTCAAAGGAATACTCTGAATACATGATGGTAAATTACAATTCAAATTTTTATTCATAATATATGTTTATGAAATATAAGAATACAATGGAAGAAAATGTGGTTCATATAATATAGGTGACACAAGAAAGAGACTTTTAGGAATGTAACAAAAATATACTTTTCCTTTGAAATTATATAAATATACATGTATATATTCCAAAGAAAACAAATTATAACAAACAGCCACTCATTAAATGTATCCAATGCGAGTATTTTATAACTTGAATGCTTTTATGATAAACATAATCTGTCAATTGTAAATAAACTCAGGGGGAATAAATAAGAACGAAATAAATGAAAAATTATTTTTTGTATGTAATATTTCTAAAGGTTAATATTTTCATTAATTTCTTAACATTTTCCATGAATAAATTTTCTTTCAAAATATAGAATTATTAAAAAATTAAAAATACCAAAAATTATTGATTATTATTATTAAAACATGCTGCTAGCTACTGGATTCATACTGAGAATTTATGGTAAAAAGCTCTCTGAGTTACAACCAGATTATCACATATGCTGCCAAAAAAGAATTTAAATACCATAAATTTTACTATAGTCTCAATTTTCTTGCTTTATTTTGAGAAGTGTGTGCTGTTTCAATATATACTCAATTTGAGATCCGCTATAATTATGCCATATTTGGGCAAACCACAGAAAAAATTATTTTAACTTTCTAAAAATATAACTAAGCTGAAAATAATGATTTTTTTAATTTAGCAGCAATTAACAAAATTATGTTATTCCTATTACATTGTGTTAAACACTATTCACACAGAGACTAAATCTGATTTCTTATGAAGAAAAACATTCCAAACACACAAGACAAAATAAATAAATAAATAAATAAAGTTTACAGGTCACTTGGAAAAAAAAAAAAAAAAAAAAAAAAAAAAAAAAACACATTTCTGTATCTCTTACTATTGGATGAACTGACAAAATTCAACTTGCGTTTTTCATGTCTCGAAAGCGCGACTTTATACTATACATTAGATTTATATATACAGCATTGTTCTAACATAGGTATTTTGACACAAAATTGGACTTCTTCTGAAATAACATACCAATTTTTTCCATATTTTGATCTTATGCCACAAATTATGCCGAAGTGCCAAGTTTCATCAAAATCACCTAGGTAGCTTTTAAAAATTAGATCTTCAAAATTTTAACTCCTCAAATGTTAACTGAATTTGGTATATATTTATTAATATCTCTTTTTTATTAAACTTACTTGATCCCTTCTTTCAGAATTCCAAATTTAGGTTCAATGAAAATAAAATATCGCACATTTTGTATTACTTATTTTTAAAATTTGTATTTTTAAATAGTTTTTATGAACTTTTCAAAAAACATTTTGAGTTATAAAGTATAAAATTTTTGCCACTGTTTTAAAATAAGCATATACCTAGGTATAAGGTATACACGAATTTATACATTGGCACATTTTAAAATTTACATATTTGTTATAAACAATAATGACAAATGTGGTTTACACACTTTATTATAATCTTCAGTGAATTGCAACAGTCATTTTGAACCTTAAATTTTTAAACAGACCTTTACTGAGGGTCATTCACGGGGAATTTCTTTATTTTCATTTATTAATAATGCTTAAAATATTGATTAATAATAAGTTATTTTTAAAATTTATGATAAAGAATATTAATAAGAAGACCTTCTCTTGCTTTCCAAACAAGTTAATTTTCACCTCCACAATTTTATCGTTTGTTATTTTACCTAACTTTGTTTTATATGCAACAAAATTTATTTTGTTGATTTCAAAATTGTGCATCAACACATCTGAGTAGGTCAAATAATGCATCAAAAATATGAATAAAAAGATGCTGTCTTTTACTACAGAAATGTTTAACAACAGCAAAATTTACATGAATATAAGTATTTTATCCTTTTTTGTGTGTGTGCAGCTTTTGAAGATGTTCTATATCGAAAGATATTTTGCGGCCTTTACTGCATAGAATAAACACATTTCTAAAAATCAAATTGTGATTTTTAAAGACCGGAATTCTAATCATTATACTAGGCTTCAGTGAGTTTTGGGTTTTTCTTAGTTTAGAAATCACACATAAATTAGGTTGGTTGGTTATTTAAATATGGTTTTAGATATGGCAAAGCACATGGAAACTAACTCTATAAGGAAAGAGATGTCTTCATGGGGAACTGCAAAAAATTCATGAAAACCATGCACCCAGCTCATTCGGCAGAGCTGGTTTATTATCACAAACTATCAACAGATAGATAGATAATAATAGATGTTAAAGCACAAAACAGTAGAACTGCAAATGTGCCCGTTTTAGAACATAACATTTACATTTTTGATATCTTTGTGATAAGAATAGAAGCAGCAGATCAGTATGGCTGAAGAGCAGAAGCAAAGTTTGATCCATTCAAGACAAAATCTTAAACAAGAGTAGTTAGTTTAGTTTCAATTTTGATATAATTTGATTGGCTAACTAATAGCCCTCCCATCATTGTCTGTTCGGAGTTTTAGTTTGCAAAACCATTTATGCAAACAGAATTATGTAAAAGTCGTATGACATGGATTAAGCTGGAAAAGATGAAGTCCTAAAATGTTTATTATAAGCAATTACCATTTTTAGAATAGAAAGGGGAAATATCGAATTAAAATGAAGAGTTAAGCAGCTATTGCAAATTTAATTTAGAATTTTAATTTACATATTTTTTTATGTTGCATATATATATTAAAAGGCAAAATATTATATATAAGCAGAAATACTGTTACAAAATTACTATCCCATTGACATCATATTTTATATCAATGTACAGTTATTACAAATATAACAAAATATTTATACCTAAAGAAGCAAGAGTTTCATGCAGATCATTTTTATCAATAAAACCATCTCTATTCTGGTCAATCATGTTAAACGCTTCTTTGAACTCTTGAATTTGAGCCTGGTCAAAAATTGCAAATACATTTGATGTAGCTCGCTGAGCACGTCGTTTAGTTGTACTTCGGCCTTTAGTTTTACGGCTGGCCATGGTTATAGGAAATCTAAGAATTACAAAGAAAATATATTATAAGTAGAATGAACACTTAGGAGACGAGGAGCAGAAAAATAACAGTCTACCCGTATTGAGAGTTTCATTCACAATACATTTACCTCAAATAATGGCAATATGCCATATTGGACATTTGCCATTAATTACAGCAATATCCAAGAATTGAGGTAACTGAACCTCTTTTCTCAAGATCAAGTGCAAACACAAATAAGAAAATCTAAAAATAAGACACAACATTCACACCACTCGATACACAAAGCGACGGGAAGGGGAAAATCTAGCAAATAACAACACTTTAAAATTTCAGCTATCATTTCGAAGCACCGCGGTTTTTAATTAATAAACAGTATATATCAGATTTAAAGAACGTCTAACCTTTACCAAAATTCAAGTATATATTAAAATAAATTTTAAGAGCAAAAAGACAGTATTACAAATAACAATATTTACCAATATTCGGATAATAATACGATATAATTCTTTACAACTTTATATCCAAAGACTTAACCTCTCCAAGAAATGAAACCTCAGCCTAGAAACTGCACGCGAAGTCTTACGCCAGCGTCATATGCTACGAGAATGAAACCAAAAAAGGGCATCATTGAACAAACCGACTGAAATACCACATTAGGTTAGGTCACAATAAATTCTTCTGTTGCAGACGCTTAAGTTGAAAGTGTGACGGAAACGGGAAGTCTTTTATTGTTGCCAATTAGATGAAATTAATTCTCGATTCTCGCAAATCTTCCTGAAATCTTATTCATATTTATTTTACTGCGGAAAAAAGAGGAGAAAAATAAGACTCCTGCTACTGTGAAAAATTACTATAGATGTTATAAATAATAATATTAGAATAGAAAATTACTATAAATAATGAAAAGTCTGCAGCAATCTTTTCCCGAGAGTTTTAAATTTAACTCATCTGTTTGAGAACAAATATAAAGTATGTTTGCCATGGAAAAGTGTACGTCTGAAATTAGAAACGAATAAAAAGTTAGCCACTAAACGGTTAATATCAACTACCAAAAATCTTATTAGACCAGTATATTTGAGAGAATATGATGATGTGTTTAATGAGTGGGTTTGGAATGGAGTTATTGAAATTGTAGATAAATGTAGACATAAAAGGACTCTAATTACTACATCATCCTGTGATAAAAGCTGGTATAACAGCAACAAAAATTTGCCCGGTTTTGATGCTTCAACAAAAGATTCCAAAGAAATTCCTTGAATAATTGTTTAGAAAAAGGACCAAGTTTATAAGAGTTGGTACCTAAATCGATAGTTCAGTTTCGAAAAAACACAATTGGGTAACATCAGACACAAAAAAACGTGTTTTAAAAATCAGTTTGAATTCAGAGGACAGGAAGTATTTTAAATTTCTGTGGTGGAAGGAGTTATCAAGACTAGAAGAAATAATCACTCTCTGACATTGTAGAGTGGTACTTGCTGCTTCTTTTAGTCCATTTTTACTAGAAGCAACTATAGCTTACCATCTAGAAAACTCATCGGATGAAATGAAGCAAACAGCTCGTTGACTCAATCTTTTTATGTGGACAACTGTATTACAAATTTAGGAACTAAAGAAAAGGCACACACACACACACACAAATTTTTTTTTTTTTTTTTGAATTGAGCTATTGAGCTGATGTCTTCAGCACAATTTGAACTATAAGGCTAGGTTAATTCTGAAAAAATTGTAGAAGAGATACTGACAGATTCATTTCAATTCTATGTCTCTCTCGGGACACTGAAATCGATGAACCTTTTTGTGGCAGTATGGTTGAAATTCCAGAAGAAAAGATTACTAAAAGAGTTGTGTTATCGGCTGCGTTAATCGTTAATTTCCACAGCAATGTTATATGATTATGAGCAAAATTTCTTGTTCACTTCGAGTTCCAGAACATAATGAATAGCTAGACTTAAAGCGCTTATAGAAAACACAAAGAAAAATAAAGCAAAAGTTCAGATCAAATGGATAATAAAATTTCTTAGGGTTTTTTTTTTTTTTTTTTAGTTTTAACATGTGTTCGCTTTCGAGATTGCAACTTACATCAACGTTAAGATCGAGGATGTTTCAATATTTGCTAGTGTAAACGAGCCAGTTTTCCTGAGGAAAAGAATAAAAACGAATATTCCTGCTTCTTACAATTCTAAGACTTCCTGATACGGTTCACGTTATGAATAAAAAATTTTGTCAAATTAGTAAATAAGGATACTTACAGATTTTATTAAGAAAATGATAAAATCAATATATGCCATACTGGTGAAAGTACTCCCCTTTCAAAACAGCGAGTTAGGTGCTCCGACAGCGACAACAACTTAGAGATTGGGATGGAGAACCTGGCAACACTATATTTTTTAGGATAGTCCGTTACAATTATGAGTTTTACAGAATTCCGCAAATCGGAACCCGGAAGTGTGTTCTACGTCATCACCGGATATGTACCTTTGATATCTCCGTTGGCAACAAAGCTTGGCGAGCATTTGGCGTTATTTTTTTCCCGTAAATTTTTCCGCGAGGTCAAGAATTGGCGCTAATTTAGTTCACGTGTTAATTAGCGAGTGTGAGGTGTGTATTTTTTTGCGCCATTTTTCTCGCTTTCCTTCAGCTATTTATCTTCTTTTTTTCTATTAATAATTATTTGTATTTTGTTATATTTATGATTAGTGTTTGATTTTCATTTAATTTATAGTTGCATTTTATTTACAGCATATATAAATTATTGATCTGTGTTTCGATTTGTAGTTGTTTGTTTTGCCGATATGCAACCAAAAAAGATGAAATTACTTATAATTGGAGATTCAATGGTTAAATATTTGGATGAATATTTACCGGCGAATCTTCTGAATTATGAAGTAGATTTACATTCTTTTCCTGGTGCAACGATAGAAAGGTTAAGACGTAAGATATCCTTTTTGGACAATCGATACCATTTGATTTTGGTACATGTTGGTACCAACAATTCGAATGACAGTGTTGAAGATATTCTTAAAAAGTACGATTGCCTCTTTAAGGATATTAAACGTTTGAACCCGAATATCAATGTTATCATTTCAGATATCCTACCACGTGGTGAAGATTTTTTCACAACTTTAAATCAGCGAGTAGCAGCTTTGAACCGTTTACAGGTAATTAATAGAAAGATTGTAGAAATTAATTCTCAACTTGAAAAGTACTGCCAAAATCGAGAAGCGTTTTTTATTTGCAGGTCGTCTCATCATTTTGGAGCTAAGTTATTGGCTAGGGATGGATTACATCTAAACCGTCTGGGGAACAAGAAACTTGCGGCAGTTTTCCTGGATAATATCAAGATTGTTTTGACTTCAAAGCCAGTTTCTACAAAGGTAAGTCCTTTTGTATTGCCTTGTGTTTCATTTACTACATTGGATTTTCCACCTCTGAGTGATTCTTTTGTTTCTGCAAGCCCTTCTTATCCTCTCTATTCAACTGTTTTAAAGCATGGTTGTGCTGTAGATGCTACTAAGAAGGCTAATTCTGATTTGAGAAATGCTGCTAAAGTTGCTTCTAGCTCTCGGCTGAAGAGGGTTGCTATTTCTGGTGCTGGATCTCGTTTTAAATGTGTTGTCCATGGTGGTGACTCTCATTCGAAGAATGCTGTTAACCACACAGATGGTTTTAGTTTGCATCTGCAAAATGATACCACCCCTGGCTCACATCCGAAAAACGTTGCCAACCCAGATGCTAGCTCTCGGTCTCTTTGCATTGCTGGCCATGGTGGTGGATCTCGCCCAAGGAACGCTTCTGTCCATAGAACTGGTTCTGGTTTGCATGTAAGGAATGGGACTAAACCTAGATGTCATCCTAGAAATGTTGCCATATGTAGTGTTGGCTCTCATTTTAAGTATGTCAATGGTTTTAGTTCACGTCCAAGGAATGCTGCCGTCCCTCGTTCTGGTTCTGATTTGCGTCCAAGGAACGTTGCTACCCCAGGCCTAAGTCCTGAGAATGTTGTCATTCCCGGTGTTGGCTGTCATTCTAGACTTGTTGGTGTCCGTGGTACTGGCTGTCATCCGAAGAATGCTGCTTCTGGTTTGCATTCAAGGAATAACGTCACTCCCAGCCCCTGTCATAGAAATGATATCCTTGCTGATGTTGACTCCTCCAGGCGTGTTGCAGTCCATGGTTCTGGCCGTTTTCTGAGGAGCAGTGCTAGTTCCACTGTTAATTCTTCTACGAACACTACTGTCCCAATTGCTAGTTTTCAGAAGAAACCAATTCGTGCTTTTGGTGATGGTTTGTGTCCAAGGAGGGATTTGACTGTTAGTGGCAGTTTGCATCTGAAGAATGCTGCTTCAGCTGTTTTGCGCCTAAGAAGTGTAATGGCCTACATGGGATCATCACTAAAGAATGCAGTCACTGCTGCTGGTTGTAGTGTACAGCAGGCAAGTGCTGTTTCTTTCAGTGATTGTTATCCATTGTATTGTGCTTCTGTTAGTGGCAAAGGGAGTTTAAAAAATGATTCAACAAATTTTGATATTTCACAACCTAAATTGTGTACAACAAAAGATGATTTTTACTCTGACTTTGCCTCTAGTTATGTTTTGCAGCAAAAGAACATTTCTATGACCAGAAAAAGCACTTCTTGTAGTTCAGGCCTAAGTTTCTTTCACTTTAATAAATTTTGTTTACTAAAAGATCATGTAGAAAGCAGTGAAATTAATTGTCAAGTGAGGAAAAATAAGTCTATGTGTGTCCTATTCTGACTGGAGGGGGGTCCGAAATTGACTGTAATGCACCATCGCTTTATCCTAGAAAAGAAAATGTGATATTGTGAATTTGTAAAAAAACTATAAAACTAAAAATTCTTTTAATAATCATAAAAAAAATTGCAAAGAAAAACTTGAAACTGAAAATTTTTAAACTTTCAATAACTTCTCCTCAGAGTAATATTCTTATAAACATTGATAATGTATTGAGTGCTAAAAAATTAGAAACCAAAGAATGTATTAGTGATAAAATAGAAATGGCTTATCTTCGTAAATGTGAAATATGCTTGAAAACTTATAATCGAAGAATTCATTTTATAACCACAAAAAAAAAAAAAAAAAAAAAAATGTTCAAATAAACAAGTACCTGATTTAAAACAAAATTTTTCATCTGTTTACCCTCGGAAATGTCTAAATTGTAATAAATGTTATCCTTGCAAATTATCATTTTTTAAACATAAGAAATTTTGCACAGAAGTTAATAAATTGTATGTATGCTTCATACCTGATTGCCATAAGTCTTTTACATATGTTTTAAATTTTAATAAGCATTTAGCAGATGAACATAATTTAAATAACTTAAAAGAATATTCATTTGAAACAATGAGTTATTTTCAAGATTGGCTAGAACTGGAAGGAACCTCGACATTTACTTCATTCAGAAAGTTTTCTAAAGTAACGAAAAATTCTAAAACTTATCATTATTATTGTTGTCAGTTTACCACGCAAGGTTATTCTGATTTTGAAAAAAAAAAAACTAGTCAGAAAAATGAAAAGGGTACAATTTCAAAAAGTGTATGTTGTCCAGTCAGAATATGGGCTTGTGAAGAAATGAATAAAATCTCTGTTTTTTACTTTCCTAAACATAATCATGAGCAAAAGTTTGAAAATTGTAAATATCAGCCATTGAAACAAAGTACGCGGTGTTTGATAAAAGCAAATTTAC